GAAAGAGGGGTGGGGAGAGGAAGAGAGGAAGAGAGAGAGAAGAGAGGGCAAACTGGCCAAGAGAGGAGCCCTGGACAAAGAGGTTAAGAGAACTAAAAGACCAAGAGATCGTGTGGCCCAAATGGCTGGGTTCTATAGGAGAAGCTGGGGGGGGGGGGGTGGCGTGGGGGAGGAGCAAAACTCAGCCCCTGGGCAGGAGAGGTTTAGGTAGGGGGAAGGGTGAGAAGTGCTGGGAAGTTGGCCTGCATCTGTTTTGATATGCTAACAGGCACCTCAGCCATTTGTCCCAGGTTTCTTTGAGACCTAACAGTGTCCAAGAGGCTTGAGCTAAGAGTTAAGTGGATGGAAAAGTGAGGAAGCAGATAAGGTTAGCTGAACAAGGCTTGTTTGTACAGAATCTTCTCCGCTTTGGCTTTTTATCCTTGATGGAAGAATGTCACTTTCCTCCTGATATGGGGAGGGCATTGTCCATGCAAGGCAGGCAGCTTTTCTTTCTTGTTTTCAGAAGAAAGAATGGGAAGTCTGAATCATCTTTCGTACACCTGCCATTCCTTCCAAGGGCCTTTTACTAAATAGAATCCTTATGTCGAGATAGTAGCATGTATTGGGGTATCACGTCCTAAGCTCCTTCAGCTCTGTATCTTTGTCCCTGTGTATTTTCTTTTAAAGATGTGCCCCTGGGAGTAGAGACGTGGCTCCTCCGACAGAATACTTCCTACTACACACAGAGTGGTCCAGTTGAACCCAGGACTAGTCATGACTGTGATCCTAATGGTCAAGAGATGGAAGCAGAAAGTTCAGAAATTCAGGGTCATCCTAAGGTATCTAGTGAGTTTAAGACCCTCTTGAGCTATATGAGGTCCTGTCTCAGTGTGTGTGTGTGTGTGTGTGTGTGTGTTTGGATTTAGGGTCCTCCCTAAATGATCTTCTTACCAGAGATTTTGGGGAGTTTCACCAGAATCACCACATAAAACAAAAGAAACTGAGGTCAAATCTTAGTCTTATAAAGTATTCAAGGATAGACTCAAACAGAAGCTTATACTATTTCATTGGAGTTTAAAAGAAGAATTTTTGTTCTTTTAAAAATAATATGATGATGGGATGTCCCGGGCGGCTCGCGGAGTCCGACAAGGATGGCCGTGAGTCCCTGCAGCGCCATGCGGCCGGGGGATGGGGGGGGGGAGTCAGGCGGGCAGTTATGGCGGATAAAAGGCTCACAAGACATAGTAAATAAACATAAGGGTAAATATTTATTACTTAAAAAGAAATAAAAAACAGAGAGACAGAGATAGACAAATACAAAGACATAAAGACACAGAGACAGAGAAAAACGTGTGCACACGACAGGAGACAACCACACAAGAGAGAGAGAAAGATGGCGAAGGGGGAGGTCAGAAGTGGCTGAGTGGGCGTGGTTACTTCTTAAAGAGGCAGCAGAAGACTAGCAAGAATCCCTAGGCAGGCAAATTGAAACTCATGGCAGTTACTTGGTAGAGAAGAAAGACGAAGTGGGAAAGTCATGCTGTTTAAGCTGGCGTGGAGGTCAACCACATGGCAGAGGAAAGAGAAAGAGCAAGGAAGCCCAAAGCATGCCTCTTTCCCCTAAAGAAATAAATAATTTAGGCTCTGGCTGACATTTACAATAGAAAGAGAAGAAAAGAAAAAAGAAAAGAAAGGAAAGAAGAAAGAAAGAAAGAAAGAAAGAAAGGAAGGAAGGAAGGAAGAAAGAAAGAAAAGTTTCACTTTTCTGAGTCAGAACTCAGACATACTTTAGTCAAATTTCATGGCAGCTCATAGAGACTGAGCTGGGAAGTAGGAATTCTGGGAAAGAAACATATATTACCTCGTTAGAAGGTTAATCATTCCTCATACTTCTTTAGCATAGCTAAGGTGAGCATGCCATAAAAGTGGTCTTTAGCCAGGTATTGACCTGCCTAACTGGAGTGTTGGGTCTCCACCCAGGTCAGAGATCCCATTCTTTTGACCAGAAGGATGCAGTTTTCCCTGAATGGGCCCTGCATGCTGCTGCGGTATTCTCCTCTTAACTCATCCTAGACACAGGAAGTTGTTGCCTCCTCCTCCCTTAAGAGGTCATTCAGTTGTGCCAGTCGCTTGGTTAAGGGTCCACTCTTCAGGAAGGTGGGTTCACCTTAAGCTGTGCCAAAGAGGTAAGAGGAATAATTAGCCCTCTGATGAGTGATTGACAGGTTTCCACCAATGCAAAAGGGCAGATCAAACCAGATGAAAAACAGATAAATATAGGTTCATTGAGTGTTGCTCCTGGGTAGACTCACCGGTCCCAAAGAATGGGGCCGGAGAAGTCAAGCGCCCAGGCTAATACAGGGAGATTTTACAGATCTTAGGCAAGGGGTACTGATGTGTCAACCAAGAGCTGGAACTGTGTCCAAGTACTATCAAAAGCTGTGCCCCTGGGCAGGCACTTGGGTGGGATGGTCAGGTCAGAAATGTGGACCTAGGCATTTGGTGTCATTCCTTTGTTCAGAGTTTTCTCAGTGTGGGTGGAGTTGGGGGAAGTAGGCCAGATGGGGTTTCCTAGCTTGTGCAGGGCTGAGCAGGAGTTCCAACCAAACAATGAGGTCATGGATTTTCCCTTCCCAGAATTCCCACGCCCTAGCATAATCACTAGAGTTGCCATGAGATACTTTTGAGTCTGTCCATCTTTCTGGATCCTGACCCAGAAAGACAGAACTACCTTTTTCTTCTCTTCTTTCTTTCAGATGCTAGACAGAGCCTCAGTATGTTTTTCTCTGGCACTCTGGGGTTTTTGGTGTTTTTTTTTTCTTCACTCTTTTGCTAATGCTTCCCTCTCTACCACATAGCTGCCTATCTACCACGCAGCTGATCTCCATGCTGGCTTACCTTTCACGGCATATCTTCTTTCATTGCATGACTCTTGTTTTCTGTTTGTGGTGGTTTGAATTAAGAATAAGCTTCCATAGGCTCATAAGTTTGAATGCTTAGTCATCAGGGAGTGACACTATTTGGGAGGGATTGAGAGGTATGGCCTTGTTGGAAGAAGGGTTGTTCCCCTTGTTGTTGAGGGGTGGGCTTTGAGGTTTCAAAAGCCCATGCCAGTCTCTGTGTCTCTTTCTTTCTGCTTCCTGTGGAACAAAATATAGGACCTTCACTTCCTTTCCCAGTATCATGTCTGCCTGTATGCCACCATGCTCCCCACCATGACGATGATAAACTAGACCTCTAAAATTGTAAGCTATCCCTAATTAAATGTTTTCCTTTATAAGAGTTGCCATGACCATGGTGTCTCTTCAAGTAATAGAACACTAAGATAATATTTAAACCTAAACCTTGTACTAGGACCTCAACTCTGGACCAGTGGGTCCACTAGATCCCTTTGTTTCTCTATCCTAATGTAGCCACATTAAATAAATCTTTCTCTACTTTTCATTTTTTAAAGATTTATTTGTTTATTATATATACAATGTTCTGCTTTCATGTAGGCCTGCAGACCAGAAGTTGGTATCAGACTTCATTGTAGATGGTTGTAAGCCACTTGTGGTTGCTGGGAATTGAACTCAGGGCCTCTCGAAGAACAGCCAGTGTTCTTTAACTGCTGAGCCATCTCTCCAGCTCCATTTTTACTTCACTTCTTCAATTGGCTTACTGAGGACCAGTGTCAAAGCCTGGTTTGTAACAGTTGCCAAGGGAAGGTGTCTTCCCTTGATGACTTTGTTAACAAAGTTTCCCCAAAGCCTCGTGTACAGAAGTCTCCTTGACTACTTGTGTGACTATTGGGAGGTGGTAGAAACATTAGGAGGTGAAGCCAGAAAACGTTATACCACTGAGGTGCACCCTTGACAGGGCTACTAGGGCTAAGCAAGATGGTTCATTAGGTAAAGGCACTTACTGCTAAGACTGAGGTCCTGAGTTCCATCCCTGAGGTTCACATGATGGAAGCAAAGAACCAACTTGGGCCACCTCTCCTCTGACTTCCACCCATGAGCCATGGAACCCATGCCACCCCACCTTCCATTGTGCATGCAAAATAAAGAGATAAAACACTTTGTTGTGTTTGTTTTAAAGTTTGGAATTCTGTCTTCTTCCCCCCTTCCCATTTTCCTTGCCTCTTTTTTTTTCTTTCCATCACCTTGGGGTGAACAACTTCCTCTGCTACATGTACCCATCACAGGCACAGGAGTGGCTTGGCCGACCGTGAACCGAAGCCTCAAAAAGTGAGCCAAAATAAGTGTTTCCTCCTGTAAGTAAGACATTTCGTCACAGCAAAGAAAAGCGGGGTAACAAATATGTTAACCCTGAAAAATTCCACGGTTAAAATCACACAGCCATGCAGGAAATCACCCTGCACACGTCACCAACCCCATCCCCTACTCCCATCTCCATCCCTCTACCCCACCCCTATCCTCACCCCTTCCCCATCTCTCACTCCCACCCACTCCCCCAATCCCACCCCATTCCCATCCCTCCACCCCATCCCCTCATCCCTTCCCCCACCCTTACCTACCATCTCATCCCCCACTCCACCCTCCATCTCCGGTCCCCCACCACACCCCATCCCCCCCCACTGCCTCCTTTACTCCTCCACCCTATCCCCATTCCCTACTCATCCTCCACCTCCAAGCCAGGTAAATGCTTGGGAAGAACCTTGGATTTTGAGGGTCTGTCTGTGGAGGACTTGAGGGTGAGACATGGAGAGTCTGGTTTGATTTTTGGCCAGAGTGGGAACCAAGACGCATGTGACTTTTTACAGGAAGTGGTAATTCTTACCTTGGGGGACCTCAAGACCTGAGCTCACCAGCCCTGGAAGCCTGAATAGTGCTATAGTATGGTTTACTGAAAAAGTCCCCTGAGGGTCTTGTGGTCAGAAGGTTGCACTCCCTATTTATGTGGCTTGGGTCAGGATGTCTGGAGATGCAGGCTTAGGCCATGTTAAGTGTTTTCGAAAGAGCCCTAAAGGTCACCAATCTCCATGACTACTTCACACTCCTCTCTTCAATCAACAGGATCCCTCACCTCTGGGTCTCTGGGCGCCAGAGTCGATGAGTGGGGCCATGCTGTGAAACGCTGGGGCTCTGCAATCAGCCGAAACCACACCGAGCACATAACAGGATTCCAGCCTGCAACCCCGAGCCCCTCTAGCCACCAAGGGAGTAGAACGATAACAGAGACCAATCTCCTTTTCTGGAGACTGGAAGCCAAAAGGTGGGGGAACATCTCTAGCCTGTGCTGAAATAAGTTTTGGTTACTTTATACCCACTAGGATGGCTAAGATCAAGAGGGAAGGAGGGAGGAAGGGGAAAAAAGAGGGAGAAAAGAAGGAAGGAAGGGAGGGAGGGAGGCAAGCCAGCACCAGGGAGGCAGGATCAGGAGGATTCAGTGTTCCAGGAAAACCCTGTCTCTGTTGAGAGACCGTATCATAAATAGAAAACGTTAGTGAGCAGGCAGAGAAGCTGCAGTCCTCATACACTGGCTACTGCTGGTGTAAAACGACGGCGCTGATGAGGGAACGACTCTGCTAGGAAAGCGTGCACATGCTCACCACGTGCAAGGTTCCAGCTTTGCTCTCCAGCGTTCTCCACAAGAAGATACGTAAACAGTTACCATAAAATCTAGTCACACATTCCTAGGAACATTTCAGACAGAGGGGTGTGGGCATTCAAACAGAGATTTGCACCTGAACCCCTGAGCAGCACTGTTCACGGGACCAGACTAAACTGCGGAAGTTGCCCAGATGTCCGACAGTTGGCAGATGGACAAACACGCTACAGAACATCCAACATCCGTATGACCGATATTTAATCCTAAAAAGGAAACCAATACTGCACAGTAAGTAAGGGCTAAATCTTGAAGAGAAGCCAGCCACAAAAGGATCTGTATTGTACAACCTATGTTTAAGAAGCATCCAGAACGGGCAAATACACAAACAGGAAGCAGTTCCATGGCTGCTGGGGCTGAGGAAGGGGAACTGAGAAGAGATCAATTATCAGGAATGAGGTTTCTCTGGGAATAATACATACACAATCTAGTGAGTGTCCTGAAAGTTACTGAATGTATACTTTAAAGTGGTCAAAATGATATATTTTGTGTTACATAAATTTTACCTCAATTTTTAAAGAGCATGTACTTTTTCTTTTTAATATATATATATATTTAAGCTATATATGTAATGTATATATTTAAAATATATATGTATTATTTTATGTGTATGGATATTTTGCCTGCATGTATGTTTGTGCACCACATGTCTGTCTGTATCAGAAGGTGTCAGATCCTCTAGAACTAGAGTTCCAGAGGGTTGTGAGCCAGCAAAAAGGTTCTGGGAACAGAACTCACTGCAAGAGTGATAAGTGCCCTTAACTGCTGAGCCAGAACCCCAGTCTCCAGTCCCATGCACCCTTTTGTTTTCTTTGAGATATGGTCTTACCATATAGCTAGAACTGGCTTTGAGCTTCTGATCCTCCTGCCTCGGCCTTCCAAGTGCTGGGATGACAGGCGTGAGTCGCCACCGGCAGACTAAAAGCATGTACAGTAATAAGCGGAAGTCAATCGCTCTCTGCTTGCGGCATTTCATAATCTACCGATGCCAAAATTCCTCCCCGGAAAGGGACCTCCAAAGCTGTGGTTGCCCTAACAGACAGGGAGGAGGGGCCGGCTACAGGATAACGTTGCTCCCACTCTGGACCCCCGTCCTTGTACTTTCTCATAACCTTCAGGGGCAGGAGGACATGCAGGATCCAGAAGGAGCGCCGTAGTCCCCATAGCCCGGCAACAAGGCACGTCTACCCAGCGTCGAGATTCCACAGGAACCAATCACAGAAGGGTTCCACACGAATGATACATGCTCTAGCACAAGAAGCAAAGAGTGAGTAGTGGGGGCTCTCAGTGGAGTGTAAAGCTCACAGTAAGCAGCAAAGGAGAAAATACTGAAATTGATACTGAAAAGAGAACAATCAGAGTGTGTAGGTGTGCCAGTTGTGTGAAAAGATGTACACAGATACAAAAAAAGAAAAAGCTGTGACAGTGGGAGGGACAGGCGGGGCGATGAGTCTGGTAGACTCTGTCTCTATTTTATTTCAGAGCCATATATATGTTTAGCATGTTCAAAAGCTAAAACTGAACTTCAAAAGGATGGAGTAAGGCAAACAGACACAAACCAATCTGATATTACATTGAAGTGAAAACCACACAAAACCAGGAATCAATTGAAGTACTCTGATTGCACACAATGGGTTTGTTCTGAGAATATCTGGTATCTAGTAGATTTACTGATAGTGGTCTTATCATTCTGAAACTCTTTTCTGCACGATATTGTATAAGACAGACACACACACACATACACACACGTTCTTTACTGGAAAAGAGTAAAGCACACTAGTCATAGGTAAACAAAGAAAAACCCTGTAACGTTAAATGTGAGATGGAGAAACCAGTTTGAACTCATGATCAGCAACAGAATTATTACTGAGTTCTGTCCACTGAAGAGCACTGACTTTGAGGCCAGTAACCATGGCATAGGTACCACTAAGTCCTATGCACCTTACCACTACAGAAACCAGGGCTCCTTGAAACAGTGATTGAGTCTAGGTTTGGGGCTAAAATGCATGTGACAATTCTGGAATGCCATGTCTGGTCAGAAAGCAAAGCAGGGCTCAAATGTAAATGTGATCTTGCCAAACAGATTCAGGAGCTGACCTCAGGATACTCAAAAGTGGGGCAATCTGAACATCAAAATGAACAAGGATAGCCAGGCACAACACACATGCCTGATACTCTCAGAGGCAAGATGAGATCAAATCCCCAGGCGCTGACATTACAGATGGTTCTGAACTACCACACAGGTTCTGGGAACTAACCCCAGGCCTTCTGTAAGAGCAGCAGGTGCTCTTAGCCACCAAGCCATCTCCCCAGCTCCCGGATTATCATTTTAAATTTGAATTCTTGCAGAAACAAAATAACCAACTAGATGTAAGAGGAATGAAATCTTTAAAATATTCTGTAGCCCCGGTATTTTCTCCGGGCAAGCATCATCAGTTACAGGGTGAACCTGGCACCCCACTGACCCTCTCACCATGTGAAGAACCCACCAATTATTGATTCCACATAAGAATGGAGTGAGCCGTGGTGATCAAGTTCATATCAGCAGCAGACCTGATATTATTCAATCTCAGTCTGAGGCGGTGAGTGACTACCACAGACAGATGTTCCAAACGCAAAGCCCAAATTCTGCACTAATAACCATGTGACTAAAGATATGTCTACACCTAACACAGACTCTTCCCAAAAGGAAATGTCACAAAAACAAACAAGCAGCAGTCATGATTAAAAAAAAAGCAAGGAAGGATCTAGATTAAAGACATAATGACTAAACATCATGCGTGAATCTTGATTGGATCCTGGGCATAGTTTAAAAAAAAAATGATCCAGCTGTAAAAAGGCATCGGGGGAATTCTTCAGGGCCCCAAATGCAGATCGTGTACTGCTACGACTTCCATCACAGCGTTGTGGTTTCGTGGCAGGATGACCTTATTAGGAGATGTTGATATATTTGGACGGGAGGTATCAAGATGTCAGCAGTTTGCTTGCAAATTGTTCAGCAAAATAAAAGTATTTGGAGAGAGGGAGGGAGGAGGGGCGGGCAATATGTTAACAGTTGCAGGATTAGTAAGTCCTTGTACTCGCTTCAAATCTATAGGCTCGGATTTTCAGAACTGGAAGTGCTGGGGAAAGAAAGATGGCAAAGCATTCAGAGAACGCTGTCATCGAGCAAGCAGCCAGACCCAAGGCTCCTGCCGCCACAGAAGTTAGACTGGCTCTCTGAATGATAGCAGCTTGATCCTCCTTTTGAAGTTGTCCTGAAAGGGTGAAAGTCTTCCATTCGGATTCCTTGATCCTCTTCCCACCCCTACCTTTAATTCAGCACCTTGCAAAATCCCTAACACATGTGGACACTGACCCCCACCCCGTGTGCCCTGTGTGCGTTTTTTTTTGTTTGTTCTGTTTTGGTTTTGTTTTTTCCGAGACTGAGTTTCTCTGTTTAACTACCCTGGCTGTCCTGAGACTCACTTTGCAGACCAGACTGGCCACGAACTCACAGAGATTCCCCTGCCTCTTCCCCGCACCACCACAGCCCAGCAGCCCTGTGCTTGTTTAGGGAAATGGAAAACGGAAAACACCCCCTGGCAGACAGCGCAGAGGGGAGGCGAGATTCCTACGCCTAGAGGACACCTGGTGGGGATCTCTGCACCATGACCTGGTTCAGGGTCTCTGAAGCCTGGGGTGTTTCTATGTGGCCCCTGGACTCTCTGCAAAGGAAGCCTCCACTTGATACCACCGCTGTGGCTCCAAATGGCACCCAGGGCGGGGAGATGCTATGGGGGGAAAAGCATATGCTCTGTGGGCCTGAGTTCACTACTGCAACTCTCATGAAGGTAGAAGGAGAGGCCCAGACTCCACAAAACTATCCTCTGGCCTCCACGTGTACACAATGGTGCACCTGCACACACACCGACACTATACTTTAAAACTTAAGATAGCATTCATTTGCCTGTTTATTCAATTATCTGACCAGTCTTCTCCCAGCAGCACCAACAATGCCCAGGCAGTTTGAAACACTGGGGAGGTAGTGAACAAGTGACCATGGTCTCTGCCCTCACAGAACTGTGACGCAACAGGGCGGGCAACGGAGGGCCTATCAGAGTCGGTGAGGGGAGGAGCCGTTTGAACTGACGTTTGAGTGACGTTTGAGTGTTTGAGCGGGGCTCCGTTTGAGTGTTTGAGCGGGGCTCCGGTTTGAATATGACTTTTGTGTGTCCTCCAAAGGCTAATGTGTCTGAAGCTTGGATTTCAACGTGGCAGGACTGGAGTTGATGTAGCCTTTTCTAGCCTTTCCTAGGTAGGGTCTTGTGGACGACCCATCATGGGAGAATCAGCTTTAGGAGGATTTCATGTCGTTCATGAGGTGTTAAGTCCTGCAAGAGCAAAAGATTATCAGAGAGCAAGGTCTGGCCTCTGAATTTCCCTCTTGCGCGTGAGTCCAGCGTGATGCCGTCGTGATGTAGCCAGAGGGCGCTCCCTCACCAGGGCGGGTACATACTGGTGCTACCCTCTGGAATCTACAGAACTGTGAAATAAATAAACCTACTCCCTTTAATAAGTACCCCAGCCTCAGTACCTTGTCACAGCAAGAAAAAAAAAAAAATGATTACAAGCAGGGAATATAATTTCCAGGTATGTGTGTGTGTGTGGTGGGGGGAGGTGTTGAGCAGATTTTGGAAATGATAAGGAAACCATTAAGAGACACTCTCAGGGCTCCTTCTTATAAAACTGACCAGATGGTGGTAACCTTCATTGGAAAGTTCTAGAGAGGTATGTAGAGGAAGTGGGGCAAGGGAAACAAATGTCTACATGGGCCACTGAACACTCACTGGAGAGGCCCACACTTTTTTTTTTCTTTTTTCTTTTTGGTTTTTTGAGACAGGGTTTCTCTGTAGTTTTTTGGAACCTGTCCTGAAACTAGCTCTTGTAGACCAGGCTGGCTTCGAACTCACAGAGATCCACCTGCCTCTGCCTCCCGAGAGCTGGGATTAATGGTGTGCACCACCACCGCTCGGCTGAGGCCCACATTTTGCTTGGCTATGTGAACTGTTTATAGATAGGTGACCACAAAAGCTATGTAAGGGAGGGGCTTGTGCTTGTAAGATTTATTAATGTGTGTGTATGGGTGTTTTGTCTGCATGTCCATCTGCATACCAGAAGAGGGAATCGGAATTCATGGGGTCTACAGTTGTATGTGGTTGTGAGCTGCCACGTACATGCTGGGAATTGAACTCAGGACCTCTAGAAAAACAGTTCGTACTCTCAACCACTGAGCCATCTCTCCAGTCCCCAGGAGCTTGTTTTGTTCCTCTTGTAGAAATGACTGCTCTTCTCAGCAAGATAAGCTCAGAGTGATCTCAGTTCGGAACTCTTCCTGGTCGGAAGGGAATTCTGGCAGGACAGGGCTCTGCTGGTTCTCTCCCAAAAACAGGATGTGTGTGGAGCAGGATGTGACGGGGCAGCTCAGGAACACACACACTCTGTCACACACACACTCACACACACACACTCTCACACACACACACTCACACACACACACTCACATACACGTGGGTACATACGCAACCAGTCATGATTCTTTGCCCTGCGGAGGTGCAAGTTCATGCCACTCACTCATAATTGACCAAGAAGAAGAAATTCCAGGATCCATAGTGGAGAATGGAATCCTCCCTCCAACCACCAATCCTATTACGCCAAAACCAAGAAATTCTTGGTGCAAGCATGTGTTGCACGGAAAAAGCAGCAGTGGAATGGAGTCTCTCTCCCAGGTGGATACCTCAAAGGAGTGACGAAACAGGCACACGTGAAGAAAGGCCTGGGGGTGTGGAACAAGCACCCCTCAAATCCGACATGAGCAGGAGGTACTTACTCCCTACGGTTCCTGTGGCACAAGGGCACAAACTTAGTAAAACAACAAATGCTTCCAATTCTGACAACCAGAACCTTGAAATGGAGCTGTCAGCAGGGCCACACTCCCTCAGGGACATGAGAACAACCTGGTCTTGCCTCCTCCAGGCGATGGCTTCTGGTGGCCTTGGCTTGTGACTGAAACATTCTAATCTCTGCCTCTGCCTCCACCTCTTGCTCTGTGTGTCTCCTCTGAGCATCTTTAGAAGGGACACATCTCATTGGATTGGGGGATTCTTCCAGACAGTGGTCCTATGAATCATTTTCTCTCGAGGTCCTGATATTTGCACAGACCCTGTTTCTAAATAAGGTCTCCTTCCCAGGAATTTTAGTTCGGCCATGAGACCTTGTTAACAAGCCATCAGGGGTGGGAGGCAGTGGTTAAACTCGCTTGCTTTCTGACTTGGTGACGGCATCTTGTGGTGAAGACCACTCATTCTGGAACTACACTGAGAAACCCACCCCTGCCACAAGTTCTCACCACTGTAGAAAGCTAAAAGCATTCTGGGAAATGCGGGTGGACTCCATCTATGCAAATAGTCCTCTCTTCAGTGGCTGTTCCCACACCTCCTGCACTCAAGGTCTTTGCTCATTAACCCAGAACCAGAATGTCTCCCCTTTTGTGGAATTTATGGCTTCTGGCATTGGTAGTGCTTGCCTGATCTGCACCAGCCTTATGCAAATGATTCTTTGGCAATAAATCCTGAACTGCCATGTGATGGGTTTTGCACACCAACTTTGGACCTGTTCTGTCCCTGATGCCTAGAAGTGGGGGAGTCACAAAAGTCAGTGCATGAAGCTAAAATGCCTGTGACCTAAATCATTCTGTAAACCAAAGGAGCCAAGCCCTCTATGCTCCAGATCAAAGCCCACTAGCCACCTCACATTGAAAATAAGGCTCCCATGTCCTGAGCAGGTCTGGTTTGAAATATGGGTAGGAAGAGGAAAGAAAGAAAAGTGCTAAAGAGATCTATTTTCCTCCTCCACACCCAGATACTGCAGTTAGCTTTCCCACATTGTGGGAATTCAGAGCACGCCATGTTTATGGATGAGCCAAGGTAGGCCCAGTCCCTCAAGGACAGAAGGAAAGCCCTTTGTGAGTGCTTGAGAGCAGGGCAGATGCTGGGTACAAGCCCCTGGGTGAAGAGGAGGACAGGAAGTAATATCTACATCTATGGTCTTACTATTCCAAGGGATTCATTCGGAGACCACTCAATCCCTTTCTGCAAAAGGAATTGCTGGCGAAAAATTAACAGGGAGCTAAACCACCTCTTTGCCTTTCTCTGTGTCTTCCCTGCTTCCAGACTGAGGCTCTCCCCTGACTGATTCTTATCTTCTAAAAGGTCCTAAGAATGGGGCTCTTGACCCATTGTCCTCCCAGACATATGGATTCTTTCACTCTGAGGATTCCTGGATCTACTCCATCATATCCCCACCCCTCATCCTCCCACCTCCCCCACTACCCCCATCCGCATCTCCCACAGCCCTCATAGCCCTTCCCTACTGCCCAAGAAGCCCAGTACTGTAGTCTGTGCCCGGGGTTAGGGATGGATCTCCTGTCAGCACCTGGCCTCTCCCTCTCTGTGAGTATCCCTTCCCTAAGACAGGAGGACAACAGCTGTGAACTGGGAGACTTCTGCCTGTTGGAGCAATTAAAAGCATTCACCGAACACCTCCTACTCAGGACACCCTAGGCCAAAGGGAAGGATGGGCACAAAATCGAGCAGCTTAGGAAAGTAAGTTACAACACCCTTGTCCTTCCATACCCATTCCACGGCCCTCTCCCTGCTATCTTGTCTCGTTCCCATGGTGCCTCCCAGAAGGCAAGAATCACCATCCCTTCAATCTTTGAAGTCAGCTAAGAGTTGAGAGTTCCAGGACTGGAGCTGGATCCCCAAGGAGGAATTAAATTGAGAAGAGGAACTCCGAGCGATGAAAAGCCCGGGCAATGGGCTAATCCCTAGATCCAGCACTGGGCACTGCTTCAGCCAGAGCGGTCCTGAGGCTTTAAAAAGGAAAACATGGGCAGGACAAACTTTGAAGAAAGCCCGAGCTTTGCACACAGCTCTTCCGGCATCTGTCCAGCCCCTGGGGACTCCCCAGGGCCACCTAGATCAAAGACCAGGCAACAGTGCATCTGGTCCTCTGACCTGCAACCATGCAGCGCCCCCTGGTGGTGGTTTCTCTGCCAGAGCCTAGGCAGGGCCAGGATGCAGGCAAGGCTCTTATTTTCCCTAACGGGGCATAGGACGTACCTCTAATTCCTCCTATGCAAGACAGAACTCGAGTTCCTTTCTCTTTTCTTTTCTTTTTAAAGTAATATGCTTCATATTGCCCTAGAAATACATACAATTTCTGTATTATGTATATTATTAAAGTACCATACATTAATTTCTTCAAAACACAGGCAAAGGGAAAGATAATCCCATATCAATCTGCCAAATAAAGATTCAGGGCATTCAGATAAATTTGGACTTAAGATCCATAAAGAATAATTGCATGGGGAAATTATAACTGATTCAAAACTCATATTTAGGTGCCTTTTGTGTATTTGCTGCGTCTGACAACTCTGTACCCTTCACATAGTTTTCCCTTTCCATATATGGAGGTTTTTACAAAAGCAATGAGTGCTGTTCAAAAGGCAAACTGTTCAGGGACTTAATTTTCCTACTTAGCAGCGTGCCAGAAACATTGTTTTCTGCCTCCAGGGTGGATGACCTGGACTTTTAGATATCTGGAGACTGTAGTCTCCCAAACCCTTCTTTTATCTCCAGCCCAAGAGTCCTTCCTGATCCTTCCCTGGCTTAACCTCCAGGGAAGCCCACACTTCTGGCTGTGCCGCTCCTGGGGACGCACCAACCTCAATTCTACAGCACAGCTAAGCCCAGGTGGGGCTTTCCTCAGCATAATGCCTCAGTCTCAGGGCTCAAACTGTGGATCTAACTCCTCCCCTTCGGATTCCTCAGTCGCCAGCTCTGTCATCTTGTATGCTGCCTGGAACTGCTCAGTAAAGCCTTTTAACTGTGACACAGTGAGATGGTAACCATGGTGATCATTGTGGGGTTCAGTCTGTCCCTTCCCTCACTAGATGACAACCTCCACAAGGTCGGAAAGCTCGTACCTATCAGAATCACTGTCATATTTTTATGGGATGTGCTCAAATTGCTTGTATATGACAAGCATTCAAAAACCTCATGATAAAAATATACCCAAGAAAAAAGTCTCCCATATTTGGGGTGTGGGGAGAGGGGTAGGGGACAAAAGTGAGAGTTTTGGGTAACCGTGGAGAGATCGAGAACTTGGGGTCAGACATACTGGATTCGAGTCCTTGCTCTGCCATTTTCTGGTTATATGATTTTGTATATGATGCACCACAACCACACTGGTTAAGCCAGTGCATCTTTGCCATCTTCCAGATCTGGTTTAATCTGGTGGTTAAACTTAACCCTGAACTTCAGTCCTCTCTAGAGGCTGGAGAGAATCCATTTCAGCAAGTTAAGAGCACTGACTGCTCCTGTAGAGGACCCAGGTTCAATTCCCAGCTACACCCAACAGTTCACAACCCCCTGCAACTCTAGTTCCAGGGGGTCCAGTGCCCTCTTCTGGACTCCACAAGCACTGCACACATATGGT